CTTCAGCCTCCTTCACATTGGGCTGACGTGGCGAGCCGAAGACAGCCTGACGACTTCTTGAACGACTGGCGGAGGGTGGGCTGTTGACTCAGAATGATCTTCACGACCGGAACATCAAACATGAAAAAAACGTAACTATCCTGGCAAGAGACCCCAAACAGTGTGCGTGAGGTCTATAAGCAGAAAGTCTAGAGATCTAGACGCATTGGGGTCCAAAGAGGTGATGGTGGTGATGAAGGTGGGGATCGTGGTGATGGTGGCGGTGGTGGTGAGTGAGTGAGTGAGTGAGTGAGTGAGTGAGTGGGTGAGTGAGTGAGTGAGTGAGTGAGTGAGTGTGAGAGTGAGAGCGAGTGAGTGTGTGTGTGGGTGTGAGTGAGAGTGTGAGTGAGTGAGAGTGAGTGTGGATGAGTGCGAGTGTGAGTGAGAGTGAGTGTGAGTGAGTGTGAGTGAAGAGTGAGTGTGAGTGAAGAGTGAGTGTGGGTGTGAGCGTGCGTGAGTGAGTGAAAGTGAGAGTGAGAGTGAAACAGTGAGCATCTGAGCACAAAGTGCTGCGCCTGCGCCGGAATCTGCACTTCGAGGTTGACAAAGTACTGCGGCTGCCACGAAATCTGCGCTTCGAGGTTCACCAAGTGCTGTGCCTGCCACGAGATCTGCACATCGAGGTTCACCAAGTGCTGTGCCTGCCACTAAGTCTGCACTTCGAGGTTGACAAAGTGCTGGGCCTGCCACGAAATCTGCACTTCGAGGTTCACAAAGTGCTGTGCGTGTCACGAAATCTGCACTTCGAGGTTCGCAAAGTGCGGTGCCTGTCACGAACTCTGCACATCGAGGTTCACAAAGTGCTGTACCTGCCACGAAATCTGCGCATCGAGGTTCACAAAGTGCTGTACCTGCCACGAAATCTGCAAACGAGCCACATGTCGAAAAGCACCGACTCACTGCACCTGTCACGAAATCAGAGCTTGTCGAAGATCACCACCATGTCCAAAGTGCTGCGCCTGCCACGAAAACAGAACTTCGTCAACCACGAAAACACGAGGTTTCTCTTGCGCCTGCCACGAAAAGTCACCACCATGTGCGAAAATGCGCGCGGCACCACAACGAGAGCGCAGTCGTTAGAAGCACCCGCCGCAAACACCCAGATTCAGCGATTCTGTAAATAGCAGCGAATTAGCCGGACACGCCTGTGCGCTTCAGCGATCTAAGCATCAGCTGCTTTTCTACCGTAAGAACCCCTTAGTGTGTTCACACTGTTTGGGGAAAAACAGCGCAGGATTCATAGTGTTGTCAACTTGTTCACTCTCCTTTTACTGGGAAAAAAGATTGGTTGCGCTCTGGACGCAAATGAGGATGCATTCAGCCTCATCGCGCACGCAGAATGACGTAAAGCGACCAACTTGAGATAGGAGGGGGTGAACCAAAGGTAGCAAATGGGCTCAGGTCAACCTTTCCTTATAAAAGCACTTGCGACTATGCGATTCCCAAAGAAAAAGACCGTGCCCAAGGCGGTTCTAACTGATCTAGTTTGAATTCGAGTTCGAACCAGAGGTTGCAGGCCATACCCCAACAAATCCTAAAGACTTAAAGAAGTGAAGCCCTCACCCACAGAGACCCTATGAAGCAACCCCTGCAAGCCAAACCCAAAGAAACCCTAAAGACTGAAGTGAAGCCTTAAGCCCACAAGCCAAAGAAACCCTAAAGAAGTGAGACCCGCAAAGCCAGCGAAACCCCGGCAAGACAAGCCCAAAGAACCCTCAAAGTAATGAAGCGCCAGCACGGCAATCCCAAAGTAGTGAAACCCTACACCATTTCCAACCCAAAGAAATCCTAAAGAAGTTCACGAAGACCTAAGCCACAACTAGAGAAGAAACTCGAACACCCGGAACATCACTCACCTATGCTATAGTTCCAGCGTTGAGTTCTAGCTGCTTCAGCTCGAATTCGGGTTCGGGTTCGAATTCGAGGCTCTTATGCTTCCAGGGTTGAGCTCTAACCGTTCCAGGCTTCTTCTAAAATGACTTCAAATTCCATATCAGCTCTCCTTACTGCTCTTCTTCTGCTTCAGCTTTTTGGGTTCCTCAGGCTCTTCAGCCTCCTTCACATTGGGCTGACGTGGCGAGCCGAAGACAGCCTGACGACTTCTTGAACGACTGGCGGAGGGTGGGCTGTCGACTCAGAATGAAAAACACATGAAAACAACGCAGGATTCATAGTGTCAACTTGTTCACTCTCCTCGTAGTCTTCTAGTTGGGAAACATTTCCTTGAACACCTCCCTTGCTCCGCCAGGTCCTTGGATCCCACCAACCCCACCACCGCCCCGCTATGCTTTCAGCAAGGCCACTTCGCGGCTTTCACGTCGCGTCTCGCCCGCCTCGAGACCGAGTCTCAGACCGGCCACGGACCGCTTCTTGCTCGTGCTCGTGCCTGAGACATGTCAAGACCGCCAAAGAAGGGAAGGAGAAGATACTCGACACATCTAAACAGCATGGGAACTCAATTTCACTTTTCCACTGCGAAACCCAAAGCGAGCGCCCAAAAAGCTGTGGCTGAGTGCCCGACAAGGAGGCTTCTTCTTGGCCTTTCGGGGAGCGTACGCGCGCTGTTCGCTCGACCGCGCAGCAAGTCGAAACGCTTGGGAACACATCGCACCATCCTCATCCCCGAACAGCCGTTGCATCTCCAGATATGCATCCACATTCACCGCAAGTACTTTGGTCGGCCCAAGGGCCCAAGGCCCAGCTCCCTCCCTCCTCGTGAAGGGATCTGGATCAATCTTTTTGCAGTCGTTGACTTGGAAACGTTTCCGCCTTTTCTCCCCTCCCTTCTTCCCTACAGCCTCTTCGAGCCAAACCCGCACCAACAGTACTTGAACGGCAATGTCCGCGTCCAATGCTTCCCGCGAGAACGCCAAGAGACGATGATGCATCTTCCCAAGCATGGTGGGAGAGCAGAAGACCCAAATAGACCTAATTCACATTGGGTTCCCATGAACCTCTTTTCACACAAAGTAGGGCATCACTTTTCCTGGATGATTAGGAAATTGTGTTCAGTTCTTGTTTAATGTTGCATGAACAAATTGCACAACCTCAACAGCCACATTGCCGATTCCTCCCATCCTCATGAAGAAATTAATGCGGCACCAAAAGCCATATGATGGTGAGTGTCACAAGGATAGGATTTGCTTGAATGCTTACTTTAAAACAAAAACAGCTAACAGGTGCAGCAGGGGCATGCATGTAGACTTCTACGCTTCATGGGAAACTGTCACAAGCCCTAAACCTCAACGAAAGGGTGAGGAAGTAGTAACAAAAAGCTATTAGAAACAAGAAACTACTAGAAACAGGTGCCACGCTAGTAGTAACAGGTGCCTTACTAGTAGTAACAAAAAGCTATTAGAATTAAAGTACTTTCAGCCTCAAAAGACGGAGTGAAAGTGAAGCTGTAGCATGTCAAGGAAGTGAAGGCTAAGTCGCGCAAAAGCGTTGGTCCCGGCTTCGTTTCCCAGTCGCGGCCATGTCCTCCCCAAGCGCCTTGGCCGTCTTCTTGCGTGGCGGACTCGTATCACTTGAATCGCTGCTGAACTCCACACGCGGCAGCCTTCCGGCCGGCACTGGGGGCCGAAATGGGAAACACGTCACAGCTTGGAGCCATGTTTGAGGGCGAGGTATGCTAACTGAGTTAGGTTTTCTGTTTATTAGGGGGCCTCTGCCAAAAGGTGTGGCAGAGGACCTTTGTAGCCTGACTTTCTTGCAACATGATCATGCTCCAGCTCATCGCAAGGACAACCTCAGATCTGCCATCAAGGCCATAGGAAACCTGTGGACCTATGTATCAAAAGCAGCTGATAAATACAGTCAGCGACCCTGCGATGGCTTATAAAGCAACATCACTTGCACAAAAGAAACAATATAGAGTTTCAAAGCAATGTGTTGCTTTCCTGATACTTTGACTTTTTGGGCTTTCTTAGATGCAAGCTCCCTGTTTAAATGCCAAGTCTTCATAAACTTTCTCCAGTTGTGGAGTGACAGTAGAAAAAAAACAATAGCACCAGTAGTGATTGCACTTGCAGTATGAATTGCCAACGCCCGAAACGGGCTTGTGCCTTGCTAGGTAGTCTTCGTGACGTTCCTCAAGATGTCGCGGTAGCCTTCCATACAGCAACTTCCTTAGGAAAGCCCCAAGAAGAGCGGCTTCGCTTCCATGGAGATGGGGTGGTCCGGTGTCGCCGACGGTTCCAGGTCTGTGTGGGCTATGCCTTCAGCAGCTCATTTTTCATCCACAACTAAGGGGCACCGCATCAAAACAAAAAACATATTTGGATGATGCGAACATGAGTCCAACTACGAGTTCATGCCGTCTTGGCACTCTGCACCCCGCTGGGGGTGCCAAATCCCAAACGATGGCAGCGCCCGCCCTGCGGTGTCCAGGCTCCAACGTGTACACCGCGGACACCGTGCGACAACAACACCCTTCAGCGGCACCCTGCAGCAGCAGCACCCAAGCTCCAACGCAAACATGGACGCACCTGGCATCGCTGCTAGGAACAAGAAGCTACGTTCGGGGCTCCTGGCATCGCGACGAACGGCGCGATCGGACGCACACACACACACACACATCTGCCAGCACCCTGCGGCGGCACCAACACCGAGCCAAGAAGAAGTCATCTTTCATGTCCAAGCATCGCTCTCTCCTGTTCGAATCTAAAGGCTTCAGCGGCACATTTCTTTTCGAATTCGGCATTCCTCTTGCGGGACTCTTTTTTGGTGAGCATGACGGGACCCAGACCATCATCAGAATCATCATCGCTGCCTAGCACATGCGCATGTTTGAAAGAGGCCTGCAGCAGTTTCATGAACTTAAGTTTCCCTAAAGAATCTAGGAACCAAATGAATAGTGCGAGCGCTTCTTCAAGGAAGCTCCCCCCCTCAGCCGGGCGAGCTTCCTTGAAGAAGCGTAGGCTATCCAGCTACCTACCTTGCTACTACCTCCCCTCTACGGCTTACCAAAAACAAGAGGTTTGTCTATTGGTTCATACAGGTTTCAGTCAGTTCGAATGACCGCGCCCACCCTCAAGGGATTGTTTCCCCGCCAAATCCCCCGCCTTGTTTTCTTCTGTGTTTCTTCCTCGAGTCCTTCTTTGCTTTTCTGCGCCAGGGCAGAGTTTGGCTGGATTTCTCTGCACGGTTTGATCGGGACCCCAAGGATAGAGAAATAAGAAAACCAAGGAAATGACATAGCTTCTTGTTCCTAGTAGCGAGGCCCTTTGCTCCTAGTAGCTTCTTGTTCCTAGTAGTATGGCCAGGAGCGCCCTAGTAGCATCCTTGCTCCTAGTAGAACAAAATAGTCTTTCAGAACGACATTGCGATTGATCACTTGAGGGAATCAACTTGGGCGGGCACACTTTGACGGCGCCCTGTGACAACACAGAGTGAGCATCTAAGGCCGTGGATATCAAACAGAGTCTTTGTGTGTTAGCTGTCTTGTAGTTGAGGTTGAGCGCGCTGCTCGTAGGAGCAGCAAGAGATATGGGGTATTGCCGAAACGCTTCCTGAAAGCAATTCACCGCAAAGCATCTGCTTGATCCAAACCAACGCTGCTGAACCAACGCTGGAATTTCCTAGTTCACATGTCTGAAGATGCGCCCGCGAGTGGCGGGGGAGCCTTGCATTTGGTATGCCAAAGGTGGATGCCATGGTGCGAACCATCTATGCCAGGAGCGCCGTTCGTAGCTTCTTGTTCCTAGTAGTAAGGCCAGCAGCCCCTAGTAGCCTCCGATCGCTCCCTTCGTAGCGATGCCAGGAGCCCCTAGTGCGAACAATCTATTGAAACTTGGAGAATCGTTGTGAGGGCCAGAGCAGCAAGCTTTCATGCGACCCTTGAACCTCCAATGCGAACTTTCGCACTGGTTCCCAAAGCCTTCAAGATTTCCACGTGCATGTTGTTCACAAGGCGTTTTGCACAAACATGTGGTGTACATGGTGTCTTTGCATCTTGTGTTGAATGAGGTGATGTGTATTAAAGGCAACAGCAAAACCCTCCGACAGTCAAGGTCCCAACGTGCGTGTCTTCGTCTTCATTTTTCCTTTCGACTACAACGAAAAAGCATAAAAAACCACAGAAAAATAAACATTGATAAACATAAATGAATGAATCCCGGATGACGCCCAGATGAAACCCACGAACCGTTGCTTGACTGACATTTTTGGTTTGAGATTCTTCTGGGGCGCTCTTGTGAGACCCTCTTGTTGGAATTGTTTGCAAGAACACTTTCTTTGACATTTCTGTTTCTGGGACCTCAGGGTTAGGCTCACAGTGACTCAGTTCTTGGATGTTGTTTTCTACATGTGTGCTGTCATGCGTGCTTTTATGGATGTACTCTCATTTGTGTGCTCGCGTATACGTTCTGTCATATGTGTTTTATGATTTTTATGTGTTCACATATGCATGCTCTCATGTGCGTGTTCTAGGATATGCTCGCTCATGGGTGGCTTCGTTTGTGTACGAAGCGACTTGTCGAGAACATCAACGTCAATGAGTGCCTTGTGGGAAATCTTTTCGACCGACACCTGCAAAGCCTATTTTCAGCACCGGATTTGTCCAACAGCACGAAGAACCCAAGGTCAACTGCGTTTTGGAAAGGATCAAATGGAGAAAACTGAGCAGGAAGCATCTCGGTCATGCCCAGCATGAGGGCTGCCTCTGAGTATGGAGCTTCGTGGGAAAAAGGTCTTCTCACACAAATAGAACTAGGCGGCATTCCAAGCAAACCGAAAGGGTGCTGCGATTGATGCACTGGTGTGGTAGACGCTTGCCGGCTGCTTTGCATTTTGCTTGCCGGCGGCTTTTCGAGTGATCTGGCTTGGCCATCGATGAAACATCATAACAGGCACAGGCGGCTCATCAAAGGACAGAAAGCTTCAATAAGTAGGTTGGAGGCCATTCGCTAGTAGGTTGGAGGCTATCGCTAGTAGGTTTGAGGCCATTGCTAGTAGGTTGGAGGCCTCTAACGGTTAGTTTCCTTGGGCACTTTTGTTCAACCTACCAATGCCCGTCATGTCGTATATCGCGTGAGACTGCACCGGAAAGAGATTCTTTTGCACAAACGGACATGGGGGTGCCATGTTCCCTGACCCACCAGTCAACATTGACCAAAGCTTGAGCTCTACGTATGTATGCTATGCTGATTCTAGAACACCAAGCTCTGGGCATTCATTGGCAGTTACCAAAGGTATAAAAACTTGGTCCAATGAGGCTAGGTCTCTTTTGCTGTACAATTCAATCAAAAGGCACTCAATGTGGTTTTTCTTCCCCTCACACCCGCCAGGACTGCCCATGACTGCCGCTGTCTACCTGGGAGAACCGTTGAAGGCGAGAGGAGTGTTCATGGTAGCTTACTATTGGCCTAGTCGATGCTACTTAGGTTCTTGACAGCGAACAAGCCCTTGAGGCTTGCCGTGGCTTGGCCCACTTTTCTTGTTGTTTGAAGGGGTTGTGGTAGATTGGCGAGAAGAAGGCACTGTCTTGGGTCTTAGAGTACCGACTTCCAGCATGCAACAACTAGATGGACAAAGCGAGCCAAGTATGTAGGATTGTCTTTTCAATGCCATCGCAAGAAATCAATGGCAGTCGACAGCTTAAGCAAACACGATCAGGGGCCTCAACTCTTGAGGTGAGTGGTGGGATTTCATGTCGGACAACTATCTCTTCACAATTTACAATAAACTGGTCTTCCCTTCCCCTCGATTGATCTAAGCTGCTTGGCAGGCATCCTGAGCAAGTAGCTTTTTCGGCCATCGAACTTGCCCTTGATCTCCACCTGATACGTTGCCGGTCAACAAACTCTTTCGGTGGCCATGCCGGGGAGCTGGTCAGAAGCGATGGGCTAAAGGCCCAGTGCTCTTTCCTGTTACTTGACTCGTGATCCACGTGTCTTGGCTCAAACGTCTTGAGAAGACGAAACACGAGGGCTGGCGACAGGGGCTCCCACCTTCTCTTTAGAAACTCTTCAGAATCCTTTGGAAAACAGTAGGTTGGAGGCCATTGCTAGTTGTAGGCCATCGCCAGAACAGGCGATCTTGGAGAGCTGAACCCAGTGGTCTGATGTATCCTACTTGGACATCAAGGGTTTGCACCCACGGTCGGTGTGGCCCAGTTGGTCCAGCCCAGTCCACGCGGTTCTAGCACCGCGCCTGGTCGCTCTGTGCGGTGAAGTACTGATCCAAGGAGACATCTCCAGGGCGGCGCAGCGTCAATTTTGGAGCACCGCGCTTGCCCAAGAAGAGCAAACCTTCCTGAGATGCCCAAGTGTCAGGCTTTTCAGGACCTAACGGCTTGTTTGGTCGAAAAGCTCATTTCGCTCATTTGGCCTTTGCCCAAGCTCCACACATTCCATGATGACAGACTCACAATTTGGGGAAGGACCTATCCAGGGTCAATATTGCAACCGTGAGTCACTTAGTGGCAGGTCCATGCATTGGGATTGGCAACCCCTATGGGGGGACCTCTGTGGGGGAACCCAAGGACCTCTTAGCTCCTGAGCCCCGTGTGAATGCTCGGAGCTTCTGCATAGACTTCAACACTGAAAACATCTCGATGGATTCGGAGGCTTGGTGGAATACGATCAGTTGAATGAAGGCTCAACTCAGAGCAATGACTACTGCCATGGGCAATATCAACATATCTACATATGCATTATTTATAATGCAATCAATTGGGTTCTACTTGAGCGGATGTCTATGAACCTATCAGCCCAAGCAAGATGATAGACTTCTTGCTTCTCACGTCTCCCGCCAAACCACCCAGCGAGACCAAGCATCTGAGCCGGTGTTATATCTCTCCGTCCTTGCGACATGTCTCTGTGATGCCACGGACATGTCGGAGAGACTGGAGTACTTGGTTCGCGTTCCCCCGGCTTTCTGTCTTTTCTAGCTCTCTAAAATAGCTCTTAACCTGCAGTACTGGAACATACCTGGTTTTTGCCAATATTCCGACAAGGGCCTTATGGATAGAAATTATCTGTAGCAAGCAACACATGTCAATGTAATTACAGCTTGTACACAAGACAGTTGACAATGGGAGCATCTATAAGAACCACCATACTGCACACAAGTGCAACATATACTTACACAACAGCACACATCACAATCATCATACGGAGATCTCCCGAATTCGGTATGAACATCCTGAGTATTCACAAGACTCCAAACGCATCGAGATGAAGAATAGCAATCCGGTTACTGGTCAAACTCTGATTACCCAAGAAAACACACGACGTAACGTAGGTCAGTATTTGCTTGGAAAACAGCATGCCGGTGGACCTTCCTTTCTGGCTACGAATCCACCGGTGCATCAGGTTCTCCTTGGTTTTGGCTTCCTGTCTGGCCCCATTGGCGGTATTCTGTTCAGGTCTGGTGACCTGGTGTGCTCTTGTTTCGGCTTCTTTGGCTATGGTAAACTACCTCATAGCGATGGCCTCCAACCTAATGGCGATGGACCCTCCTTTCTTTTGAAAGCCCCCTCCCCCACGCAGCTGGGCCAAGCAACCGGCTCTCGTCTTCCACCTCCAGCTCATGGCCGGTGGCCAACTCCAGTGGAGCATCGTTGGAATTCGCCTCCTCGCCTTGCTCCAAGCGATAGGGCTTTAAGACCTCGGATTGAACGGAAGCTATTAGTAACAAGAAGCTACTAGGAACAAGTGCATCGCTTCTAGTAACAAGTGCCTTACTAGTAGTAACAAGAAGCTATTAGTATCAAGGAGCAAGTGCATCGCTACTAGTAGCAAGTGTACTTAACTACAAGCGCTGGGGTTTAGTCACCCGGGCTTGCAGAAAGTCACCCGGCCGCATGTAAACGCAGCATTAGTCAAGAGTCACCCAGCTCGCGAAAAGTCACCCGTTTTATGTTAAAACACAATGTAAGCGCTCTAAGGAAGTATGTTTGTCAAAGCTGCTATACATCAAGAATTCACTGCCCCTGTGCAGGAAAGAACTAGTTTTATGTCGAAGTTTGCAGCGTTTTGGTGACCGAACCCCAATCAGAACGCAAGATTAGCCTGCAAACATAGATGCAGCATTCCATTGAATGAGTCGGTGGTTCCAACAGTCAGCGGTCTGGCTAGATTGATACATTTTTTGTCGGAAACATGGCTACACTGGCGTGAGTGCCTCTAACCTCTAACCTGCATGTAAACGCAGCATCCAAACAATGTTGCTGACCAAACACTCTTCCAGTTATATTGCCATCTTGCATCTGACCCCATTGATCCCCATTGTAAACGCAGCATCCAGACGACTTTCTACAAGACCAGACGACTTAACACAGGTACTTGTAGGAACAAGAAGCTACTAGTAGTAATGCACTTGTTACTAGTATGACGGTAGGTGTTTTGGCGGTGGAATTTGCACTCTATTGTTGTTGCGTTTGCTGGCGCTGCTGAAAGGATTCCTTCGTTTGGGGAACTATATAGGATTTTGAAGGGGTATGTCCTGCAGTTTATGTTTCCACTTTGTCACTCTTTGTCTTCTCGGGGTGGATTTCGTTGCCTTTCTTGCTTCCAACAACCTTCCCCTGGGCCTGGCAAAGTTCAATTCTCAAAGTGTAAGCCTTCCATCTCTATCTGAGGGCGGAGCATTTACAAAACACCTACAATGTGGGTAGGTCCAGTCTTCAGTACTTCTCACCTTTGGTGAGATCATCACAACCGCTGACTGGTAAGGTCGTTGGAGGAAGTCTGAACAACCTTCTGTATTCCTTTTCCTTTTGGGCTCGAGCCAGCTCCACCATGACGTCCCGCTGGCCATCCAAGCTGCATAGTGTAAGGGCTGCAGCTGCAGCTTCGCCTCTATCAGAGAGACCAACTTCCTCAGAACTCATCTGAGAGACTTCGCTACGAACGGAGCAAGGACGCTAAAAACGGAGCAAAGGGGATCGCTACGAACGGAGCCATCGCTCTTAGGTTGGAGGCCATCGCAATTTTCATCAATCGAGGTGTGATTTTTGCCCCCGAGAAAGAGGTAGCGGGAGTTAGCTGCACTTGCAGTACTGAGAGGGCCATGTCTCATGGTAGGCTTGCGTCGACACCTTCAAAACTACCAGCAACTACCAGAAACATTTGAAGTATAACAAAGTGCCTTACTGGTAGTAACAAGTGCCTTACTAGTAGTAACAAGAAGCTACTAGGAACAAGTGCATCGCTTCTAGTAACAAGTGCCTTACTAGTAGTAACATTTGAAGTATACTTGGTCTTCTTCTCTGAGCAAGCGAGGCGCCCAACTTTTGTTTTCACGGACCTTCCAGCTGCGTAGCTCATGGTCTTTTGGAATGATGCTCTTCCGGATTTCCGGACTGTCTGGTCTTCTCCGAGCTAGCGATGGCCTCCAACCTACTAGAGTTAATGAGGGTCATAAATGATGTCATAAGGCTCCTAGGATCGCCCAGCTTCCCGTCGCTGCCCGGTGACTTCACCTTCCAACCGACCGAACGGCAGATTGACACATCCAGGATTCTCTGCCGTCTCTGTGGGGCTCACCTTCTCATGGATCAAACGCCTGAGAGTGCGCAACATCAAATTCTGCGAAAGAAATCGACGAAAGGGATCAGATTCTGCGGAGAGATGGGCAGTATGGGTGATGAACCAGGATGGAATGTTGAGTTGGGCGGTGGGCAATACAAATCACGTTCTCTCTCTCTCTCTCTTTCTTCTATCGTGCATGTACACCTGGACGTTTCACTTTTCGACAAGACCACTCGCTACCTTCTGCCCCAGGCACGGATCAGTGTCCTGCAGTCTTCTGCACATCGACACAGTATGCGCTTCTCCTACAAGTGGTCAGTGGTCAGGTTGGTCCGTTCCAAGGTGCAACGCCCACAGCCCATTGGATGCCTGACACTTGACAGGGTCCCACTATATCCAAAGTTGTGTTCAAGATCTTTCTGAGGAACTAAAGCCACGTTCACATTAAGTAGGGAAACTAATTCCAAAGGTAAATCACTGACAGGGTACCACAAAGCTGTTTTGGAGTTCAGTTTCCACCAAAATCCAGAAAACAAATGAATGGTGCGAGGGCTTCTTCAAGGAAGCGCCGGCCTAGCTTCCTTGACGAAGCCCGGGCTTTCCTGCATCCCCGCTACTGGTCCCTTCCTAGCCTTCCTAGGTCTACCTCCTTACGGCCTACACCGCCACTGAAACAAACACCGCTCTGCCCTCCGCCCTACTAGCGATGGCCTCCACCCTACGGGATAGCCTCCACCCTACTGGCGATAGCCTCCACCCTACTAGCGATGGCCTCTGACCTAATAGCGATGGCCTCCGCCCTACTAGCGATGGCCTCCGACCTAACAGCGATGGCCTCCACCCTACTAGCGATAGCCTCCACCCTACTAGCGATGGCCTCCGACCTAATAGCGATGGCCTTCACCCTACCAGCGATAGCCTCCACCCTACTAGCGATGGCCTCCAACCTACTAGCGATGGCCTCCGACCTAATAGCGATGGCCTCCACTCTACTAGCGATGGCCTCCTACCTACTAGCGATGGTCTCCAACCTAATAGCGATGGCCTCCAGCCTACTAGTGATGTAATATCGATGGCGTCCACTGTCCACCCTAATAGCTATGGCCTCCAGCCTACTAGCGCTGGCCACCAACATACTAGCGATGGTCTCCACCCTAATAGCTATGGCCTCCACCCTACTAGCGCTGGCCACCAA